CATTGGTCAAGTGGTGATCACGTGACGTACGAAGGAGGAGGAAAGATACCCGACCAAGACCTCATTGGCCGAGTGGTGATCACGTGACGCACGAAGAAGGCTGTCAACGCCCCATCCAGAGTATAAGTATGAGAAGCTGCTACGAAGAAGTTGGGAGGGCAGTTCACGCCCCTCAGAGGTATGGTGAGAAAGTGGGAGTGAGGAAAGCTTCCCAAAAATGGAAAAGAGTGGAAAATCCCTAACCAGAAATAAAATAAAAATGGATATTTATTTAGAATTATCGAGGAACCCCCTGACGCCAACAGACCCACCCCGGTTTTGGTCGGCGTCAATAAAAGCGAGGCCCCAACAGGCAGAAATCAGTTCGGGCTCCAGCGGAGAGTTGAGTTTCCAGAGTTGAAGCGGCCTCGAGATAGCTGACCAAGATTCACGCAAAAATTCCGGACTCCTCTTCAACCCAAGAACAATTATTTTGAAGAGCGACTTAGATCCAGACCACCGAAATAAGTTTTTTTCGACTTTCGTCCAAAGACACACCGAAACGCCAATTTCTTAGAGAGCAAACAACTTGAAGCGTTAAAAACTTGTCTAACGGAAAACGACGTGTCACAATCCACAGAACGGGTCGGGAGATAGATGCAGTCCTATGTATCGAACAACTATACATAAAGTTTGTTACCTTTTTTTTCTTTGATACTTTGAACTTTTTGAGTTTTCATTTTATTTTCTTTTATGCATATTTGTGTAGTATCACCCCCGTTGAACTCAGTTTGCATTACGGCCCCAACCACTGTTTGATCTCGTCTGCCTAAGATCAATTCACAACATGGGTAGGCGGACTGGAGATCAATGCAGTTACCTTGGTAACCAGGCGTTGGAAGCGAATTGGGAACGACGAGGCTGATATCAAATCTAACCAGATTCCCACCCGAATCACCAAAAGGTTAGAACGTCACATTTGGGTGCCGCAACCGATACCAAGCCAGTTGGTCGTCACAGGACGAGACAACACGACTGACGCGACAGGCGGACGTCGCGTTTGGAGCAACGACACCCGAACGGAGCAACGACACCCGAACGGAGCAGCGAGGAGCGAACAGCTGGCGCCGCGGCGAGGACGTCAGAATTGGTGCTGTTTGGGGACGTCACAACTGGCGCCGTGATAGATCAGGATAGAACGTCACAGTTGGCGCTGCGACCGGGGGACGACGTCACAATATCGATCAGCGGGTTAATATATATATATATATATATATATATATATGTCCGTCTTTCTCAGTTTTTATATCTATCTACCTATTTATCTCAATCTGTTCATATCAGTTAATCTTCACATCTTATTTTGCTAATATCTATCTATCTATCTATCTATCTTCAATTCATATCTATCTATCTATCTATCTATCTATCTATCTATCTATCTATCTTCAATTCACCATCTATCTATCTATCTATCTATCTATCTATTTAAGCCTGTTTATATCTGTCATTGAATCCGTACGATTTAGGTTATATATATATCAATTTATTCATATTTCATTGTCTATCTAGTTATCTACCTCTGTCTAAACATATATCAGATAGATAGATAGATAGATAGATAGATAGATAGATAGATAGATAATGATCGGACTAAATTAGATAGATAGATAGATAGATAGATAGATAGATAGATATGAACAGACTGAGATAGATAGATAGATAGATAGATAGATAGATAGATAGATAGATAGATAGATAGATAGATAGATAGGTTTAAACAGACTGGTAGATATAAACAAACTAAGGTAAAGAGATATGAAGACCGTGAGATAGATTGATAGATAGATAGATAGATATGAACAGACTGACAGGTATAAATAAATTGAGATGGATAGATTAACAGATAGGAACAAAGTGAAAGACCTAAATATATGTGTGTGCCTGTATAATTTTACATAATTTGCACTCTCTCTAGTTTATGAAACTAGAGAATATATATATAAAGGAAATTTTAAACTGACAAAATCCAGAGTTTATCGAGCAATATGCTGTCAGCTGTTTCTAGAAAATATCTTAAATAAATAATAGAACAATTCGTTATTAGCCCGCCCGTGGCAATCTCCAAACAGTTAATATACAATAAATAGACTGACGACAGATGAGATCTGAAATCGAGTGTCATAGTCAATGTGTTAAAAATAAGAATCCCTCATCTCCAGGCAGGCAGGCAGGCCGGTCAGATTTTTACTTGGCTTTCCGACTATGAAACAAAAAACCCCATAAAGAACATTCTTTGAAATCCATTCGGCCAAGTTTAGCGTCGGCGACTTTAGAAACTTGCTTGAGTAAAGCGATGAAGTAGCAGATATGGAATAGTGACATTAAGAACATCGACTAAAACATGGTATGAGATTTATTCATAGATAGATAGATAGATAGATAGATAGATAGATAGATAGATAGATAGATAGATAACGGAGAGGCTGAGATAGATAGATAGATAGATAGATAGATAGAT